TAGAATAAAAATTGGGGAACACCTGGTGACAAATGAATGGGAAGTGAGAAAGAGGGATCAGTCAATGTAAACAGGTTATTGAAGGAGCCTGAGGGTTGGGAGGAAGAAAAAAAGGGAACATCTAGAGTAGAAGATTTTTAAAAAATTATTTTAGTGCTCTACATGAAAGAAAATTCAGTAAGGATATATTTTAATATCCTTATTAAAATAGAGGAGAGACTGAGTAATATATGAGATGAAAAAGAAATTAAATAACAAGTTCATACAATAGTGAGAGTGCTAGCATCCACTATAGAGAGGATACACTTGTCCTGGACTTCATAAAGGTTTGCTAGATTCAGATAAACAGAACAAAGTGCAAAGGTCATTTCCCTGAGAAAAACAGCGTGAATTTAGCAAAAAAGTAAACTGGCTTATAGGGAGCTCTGGGAAGAAGCCTTTTGACCTGGAGGGGAGGGAAGAGTAGATGGCATGATCAGCTAGTTAATCTTGCTCCTCTGCGTATTGTACTAGGTAGAAGTGGCTAGGTAAAACCAGTCCTTTAAGAAGATAACAGTAGGAAGGTGGGACCCAGAGCTTAGATGTGATTGCAGTAGACAGTGAGAAATAGTATAGTCTTCAAACACACCACACACATCCTATGCACATCCTCTCTAGGTTATATATAATACTTAGAATACCTAAAGTAATGTAAATGATGCATGCATGGCTTGATTACCAGAAACATCCTGAGAAATTTGTTAGTAGTGATTTTGTCATTGTGTGAACATCATGTACTTACACAGATTTACATGGTATAGCCTACTACACACTTAGACTGCATGGTATAGTCTGTTCTCCTGCACTGTAAGTTTATTCACTGTTGTTCTGAGTACTGTAGGCAGTGGTAATACAGTGTATTTGTGCATCTAAATATATCTAAAAATAAAGGTACAATAAAAATACTAGGCAATAGGAATTTTTTTAGCTCCATTGCAATCTTAAGGGACCACCATTGTATATGTGGGCTGTCACTGACCAAAATCTAGTTATGCAGTGTATAGCTAGTGCATAATGTAGCTGTTAATACTGTAACTTTGAGGGAATAAGGAAAAAATCTGTATATATTCAGTGTATACACAATTATTTCTCAATATTTTAAATTTGAAATTAGTTGAATCCATGGATATAGAACCTTTGGATATGACTATTTTGTAGATTTTGGAGCAGAAAAGGAACATGATGGAATTTGTTGACTTGAAAAGAAAGACTGATGAATATGACATCTATTTGAGAAACAAGAAAAAGATTGAGAACAAAAATGGCTACTTGGGCCAGACATCTAAAAAAGGAGTCTTAATATACGATGATAGTAACAAACAGGAAGAAAGAAACATTTTGAAAAGAATCCAGAGGATTTGGTGAGAAGATTTGAGGTTAATTTTTAGGTTTAGAGCCAGGTTAAAGTTTTGGTGCCATTGATAAAATGCAAAGCTTAGAAAAGTAAGTCTCTTAAGAGATCCAAACAGTTTTTCATTAAAATGAATAAAAAATTTAAAAGAAATCCAAATAGACTTGTTAATTTGTTTTGAAATGACGTGTTCTGGATAAGGAAAATGTGTTTATACAAAATGGAGTACTACTCCCCCATAAAGAAAGATAAATTTGCTGGGCATGGTGGCATATGCCTGTAATTCCACTATTTGGGAGGCTAAGGCAGGCAGATCAGTGAGCCCAGCCTGGCAACTCAGGAACGTAGTGAAATCCTGTTTCAAAATAGATAAAAAATGATTAGGGATGTGGCTTAGTGTGAAGATGTCTGTGGAGTAGGAGCACACACGTTGCACGTGCACACATACACATATACAGGGGCCACTTTCAAAGAGAACATAATGACTTTTACACAGAAACAAGCAAACAGACAAAAAAAAAAAAAAAAAAAAAAACTTAGGGCAGAAACCAAAAGAAACAGGAAAAAAGCACTAAGGTTGGAACCTCAAATGAGAAGGAACAAAAGAGGATGCCTAGTGGAAAAAAAGGAAGACAAGCTATGAGCAAAATTTTTTTTAAAAAAGGAGAGCTCAGTGTGAAATCCTGTGAAATGAAGGATACATGGAAACTTGACAGCAGTTATATTATTATTTTTGGGGGGACTGGCTCAGGCTGTCTTAAGGGTGGGTCTGGTAAGGCATGGGAAGCTGGGGATTGAACTGAGGTCCCGTGTGCCTGACTGGGTTTACCCCAGTAGGTGCTTAAACAACTGAGCTAACCAGCAAGCCCCCTACCGCAGTTGTATTAGTGAGTACAATCACTTAGGAGATTTGTTTACTAACTTAACTTACTTAGGGTCTTGCTATGCAGTTCAGGCTGACCTTGAACTCACTATTAGGCAAAGCTGGCTTTGAACTCAGGGTGATCCTCCTGCCTTAGCCTCCCAAGTGCTGGGATTACAGGTATGTACCACCATGCCTGGCAGTTTTTTGAGGTCAGAATCTATCTCTGTGGTCTAGTCTAGTTTTGAACTTCTGGGCTCAATGATTGGATCCTCCTGCGTCATTCTTCAGAGTAACTGGAACTATTGGTGCACACCACTGTGCCTGGCTCTACTTTGAAAGCATTAAAAAAAATTCTGAAAAACAAAACAAAACAGGGGCCTGCCCATTAGCTCATCTGTTTAAGTGATTGCTTAAACAAAGCAGTCAGGCTCAGGATGCTGTGGTTTGATCCCCAGATCTTCAAGCCTTGCCTGACCTGCCCTGAAGGCATCCTGAGCCAGCCAAAACAAAACAAAACAAAACAAAACAAGACAAAACAAACAAAACAAACATTATATGGGGCCAGGGGGCTAGCTCAGTGGAATAAGTGCTTGCCTGGCAAGCACAGGGTCCTTAGTTTGATCCCTGGTACCACCAAAATAAATAAATTTTAAAAAATAAAAAAATTCCTGCAACCCACAGGTCATTCATTCCTCTATTCAGCAAATTCTTATTCAGTACCAGCTGCGTTTTTAGCATGTGTCTTTCTTACCTTTCTCATTGCTGAGACAAAATACACAACTCTTAAAGTTAAAAAAGGAAAGGGTTATTTGGCTTACAGTGTATAGAGGCTTCAGTTCATGGCTGGTTCCAAGGCAGGATGGCCTGGAAGAGGGAAGTTGCAGAGAAATGGTGGGAAGAAAACAGCAAGTTCATGTGGACAGAAGGCAGCAAGCAACAAAGTATGAGCCTTTTCTTGTCTCGTATATCTTATCCAGGCTCTCCACCCTTTGGGTGGGTAGCACTCAGACTCTTAATCCTAGCATTATGTGCTGGATCCCAGCATCACATACTCTAGATCCAGCCACTTCTGAAAAGCCCCACCTATGACTTTCATGGGGTTTTGGGGGGACATCTAGACACAAGTCAAAGGAGCAGGGATCTAGTCACTTAGAATACATCAGTGAGTGAAACACATTCAGGTGCCTCAAGGACATTACATCTGTTGAACCAATCTTTGGAATTAAACTTGATAATTCTGATGATTATTGAGGTTTCAGAGTCATTTACTCTAGGAGAAAGCCATGAAAGACAGGCCAAATGACTTCCTAGTGGACCTCTTTTGCACAGATGGCACTCAGAGGCACTTCATGACAGAGAAAACATTGCTGGAAATGGACCTACATCAAAAGTCTAGCATGCAGTTGAGTTAATTAGCTGACCCTGGAGTCAATTATTTCACAAAGAAAGCTTATTAATGACCTCAATACAATTTTACATTTGAATGGATATATCATATATAGATATATTTGTTATAGAAGACTAGTACTCACTGGTTGAGTAACAGTACACATATTGTATTGAGATTCAAAGTTGCCCTGGTTTTAAAGGAGCTTAGATGTATATGGTAGCAGTTGATCCTTAAAAGAATCCCATGCGTGGT